GTGTGTGCATGTGTGTTTGTACGTGCGTATGTGTGTGTATGTGTGTGTGCATGTGTGTGTGTGCATGTGTGTGTGCATGTATGTTTGTACGTGTGTTATCTTTGCTTTTGTCAAATCAAGCAGATCCTTCCGCTTACTATTTAATTTTTACCTTATTTACGTAGATGTAGCTCATCTTACCCCGTGTAGGTTTCTATAGACCACGTTAGGAGGAGAGTAAAAACAATAGTTCGCTGCCTCTTAACAGGTTTATCGTAAAAGGCAACCAATTAGGAGTTTGCTGGAAAGGCTCAGATATCGCAGCCTAGCTGTAAACCACAACACAATATGTTACCCTCCATTTTAAGGACGAATGCGGAAGAAGAAGACTGATGACATGATAGCTTTCGAAGTGGATAGATAATGATTGAAAAGAAAAACCAATGCTTTCCTTACATTGTCTGCTATCGTGTTTATTCTACACTGCCAGCTTAAATATGAACGGCCGGATTAAAAAAAAAAAAACACAGAAATACACGACCGTGTCGTGGCATAAATGTATTGAGCGGGTTCAGGGTTTACGGGTCGGTGTCGACTAAGGCTGCCTGTGCAGATTGGAATGTCGTAGGCCCATTCAGGATAGAAGAGAGCGACGCCGCCAGGTATGATTCATATCAACTTCAAAATATCTAGCAGAAGTATGGCGTCGATACTAATTCTGGAATTTATAACCAAAATGGAGTACTTATCAGAAAGGTTAGTTGCTTTTTATGGGTATACATATACTGATGCTTGGGATAGTGTGCACTAATATTTGTAAAGGTGTGTTCGTGTGTCGGGTAAGATTGTGCCGTGGTAAGATTTTAGAATAATGGCTTTACTTTTGAAAAATAATAATATTACTACGATAGAAGTCCAATCCTTTCGCTTCCGCTTTAAAAATGTAAAGTTTTCGGATATCTCTCTCTCTCTCTCTCTCTCTCTCTCTCTCTCTCTCTCTCTCTCCCCTCTCTCTCTCTCTCTCTCTCTCTCTCTATCTATCTATCTATCTATCTATCTATCTATCTATCTATCTATCTATCTATCTATCTATCTATCTATCTATCTATCTATCTATCTATCTATCTATCTACCTACCTACCTACCTACCTACCTACCTACCTACCTACCTACCTACCTACCTACCTACCTACCTACCTACCTACCTACCTACCTACCTACCTACCTACCTACCTATCTATCTATCTATCTATCTATCTATCTATCTATCTATCTATCTATCTATCTATCTATCTATCTATCTATCTATCTATCTATCTATCTATCTGTCTCTCTCTCTCTTTCTGTGTGTGTGTGTGTGTGCAGATATGTGTTGATGTTAGTTAACTGGTCTCCCGAATGACATGGGCTAAGATGCTTCTTCACATCTCACGATCGCCAACAGTATATCAATTGGTGTGCTAATATTTCTCTTTCACACGATGAAAGGCAGCAAGCAGTCGTATTTTGCTGACTGTCACTAATTCTCTTTCTAGAAATTCCCCCCCCCCCTCCCTCCTCCTTCTCCTGCTGCTGAATTGGCTCTTGGAGAGCAGTTGACCCGCATATTGTGGTTTACGGCAAGAAATCTGTCCGTCTTCTTCTTCTTCTTCTTCTTGTTCTTCTTCTTGTTCTTCTTCTTGTTCTTCTTCTTCTTCTTCTTCTTCTTCTTCTTCTTCTTCTTCTTCTTCTTCTTCTTCTTCTTCTTCTTCTTTTTCTTCTTCTTCTTCTACTTTTTTTTCTTTGTCTCCTTCTTTCTTTTCCTTCTCCTCTTCTTTCCCTCATTTTCTTTTTCATATATGATCTGGAGCAGACACAAGCAACGATGACTTCAAATGTTTGTATTTTATATGATATTTTGATGAAATTCGCGTTTTTATTATAATTAATATTATTATTATTATGAATATTGCTATTATTAGTTACCAGCTTTCAAAATGTCCCTCGTACACCTTTCCTCTGCCCTCTCACCATGTCTTGGTTGTTTGAATGTGTTGGACCGAAATATCACAGTCTGGCTGTAAACCACAGCACAGTCTGTCAATAATCTTGTTTTTTTCCAAGGATGATCATATCCCTTTGTCACATAACGCTGGGGTCACGTGTCTTTTTTAGGGTTTTTCCCTAAAGTAGTTTAAGTGTTGAGATGTTCCCTCGCAATGTTCTATGCGGTATCCCGCAGCTCCAAACAACATCCAGCCTACTTCAGGGGTGGGGCGACTCAATTATGGCACTACAGAATTATTAAATATTCCTAGGCGCAACTTAGTCTGACTTCCCCACTACTTTTAAGCACCCAGACTAGATAGTAATCCAATGCTAGTCAGATTAACACAGTACAAAATGCTATTCAACAATACAGCATGCATTCCAGATAACTTAAGAACTGTGAAGGATGCAAACTAACCACAAAATGTAAAATAACAAACCATTATGTAATCAACACAAGAAAGGATGTAAAGAAATGGGTTCAGCAAGAAAATGTAAACTCTTTATGGAAACGAAGAATTCCATACACTAAATGGACTCCTGGTTTGTCACTAGCATCAGCAGTTCTCATAATTGCCAAACTAATGAATTATGGACCGAGGTAACTGGCACTTGGTGATATGAGTAACCGCAATCTCTAGCCGCCACAACTTATCTGTCCAGAAGGTCCTGTTCATCCGAAGGGCAACATCTTCCAACAGTTGACATTGAGAATATTTGAATCCGTTTTATAGTTCATAATACTATATTGTTCAATAATGTGCTCAAGGTAGAAGGTTCCTTGTTATACTTTAAAATGTTCCATAATGGACTCTATGCCACCCGCTTAGACAGTTGTTGGCAACCTGACCACACAGAAAGCTACTGGGTTTAAAACACAAGCTGACGACGATAATCAAAGAACAGTGGACAGTTGTACAGTCTCATGTAGACCCAGAAATTAGTGCATGGACATGAGTGAGGTGTTTATTAAGGATTCCTCGTACTGTAGGCTGTATGCTGGTTACACTTGATGTGTCAAGATGCTGATAATTGACCTGGGCTCCAGATATTAGTAAAATCCAGTGACAACGAGGAAAACAAAGAGTTAGCAATCACTAAACACCATACCCAGTTTACCACCCAATAACATTATACAGTTGTCTGTGCTAGGTTTCATAGACCTATCAGGTCTGTAATATCTTCAGGGTCACTAGTGACTAGCAGTGAGGTTATAGAGAAAAAAGGCTCTGTCTAATTCTACTCCCTAGTGACAGCGATTTGTTTTTCCAGTATAGGGTACCTATTCTCACACAGGCAGATCATAGAAACGAGAATATATAAGTATGGAAGACGTTGAGCCGAAACACGACTCACGAGTCGTGTTTCGGCTCAACGTCTTCCATACTTATATATTATATACTTATAAATATATACATATATATATATATATATATATATATATATATATATATATATATATATATATATATGTGTCTCTGTGTGTGTGTGTGTGTGTGTATGTGTGTGTGTGTGTGTGTGTGTGTGTAAGCAAATCATATTATAAAATGGACACATTATGTCTGAACAATCCACTAAGGGAGTATGAGGAGAGAACGTTCATCGGCTTGTAGGCAGACGCTATGGTTTCGCGCTCTACTGAAGTTTGAATGTTTTGACGGCCAAGTTCTGTTGCTTCACATAGCCACATATGTCTTACATTCAGGAGCAGAGCAGAATGCTCCAATAATATTAATCTACAGTGTACTTACCCATGCTCATGGACGTTCCCGGATAAATCGGTGACTTTCAAAAGGAGGTGAGCAGATAGACAGGTAAGACAGCAAGCCGTCTGCTTAGTCTGGTAACTCAGTCATAAATGAGTCCCAGATCTAAGCGTCCTTCTGGCTAGAGGCGGGAGGGGATTCATCCGCGTCCAAAGCGGTAGTTAGGTCATGTAATTTATCTTCGCTATAGGTAAAACTCAAACATATTGGCTAAACTTAAATATATTTCATTCACAAGAAAATAGGTTAGAAATATGTCCTCTATTCAATATCTTGACACTTACTAAGTAAAGAGAGAAGAAAGTCACATATTTTTGTGGGGTTTTTTTTTTTCCTCTATAAATATATTTTAAAAAATACGCATGCTCAATTTCAACCATCACATCCCAGTAACAAAATGAGTCAAAACTGATTCACAATTAAAAGAAGAAGAAAAAGAAGAAGAAGAAGAAGAAGAAGAAGAAGAAGAAGAAGAAGAAGAAGAAGAAGAAGAAGAAGGAGAAGGAGAAGGAGAAGAAGAAGGAGAAGAAGAAGAAGAAGAAGAAGAAGAAGAAGAAGAAGAAGAAGAAGAAGAAGAAGAAGAAGAAGAAGAAGAAGAAGAAGAAGAGAAGAAGAAAGAAGAAGAAGAAGAAGAAGAAGAAAGAAGAAGAAGAAGAAGAAGAAGAATTAGAAGAAGAAAAAGAAGAAGAAGAAGAAGAAGAAGAAGAAGAAGAAGAAGAAGAAGAAGAAGAAGAAGAAGAAGAAGAAGAAGAAGAAGAAGAAGAAGAAGAAAAAGAAGAAGGAGAAGGAGAAGAAGAAGAAGAAGAAGAAGAAGAAGAAGAAGAAGAAGAAGAAGAAGAAGAAGAAGAAGATGGATCTTCAGCTCTGAATAGTACAGAAGAACCCAGCTACCCAGTATACACCAGAAGCATAATATTTTAAAGCCTAACTTAATAAAGTTCAAAATATATGAATAACAAAGTCACAATTAAAAATATAAACAATTCACTATAATGAAAATAAATGTCAAAAACATATTGACTTTAGGGAACTCTAGAAAACTACAAAGTAGAATGTGTGTGTGTGTTTGTGTGTGTGTGTGTGGGGGGGGGGGGGTGGAAAGGGAGTGCATATTCGTCAATTTCTATATACACTAAGAGTTCTTTATTTTTAAACATTTTTAAGCTACTATAACGTTTTTAATAACAGTCTCATCTCATATCAACAGCAACAAACCAGATGTGAGCAATGCTGAAGTGGACGAAACAGAAACGCAGACTGAGTCGAGCAGGTAAACGTGACACTTTCACGGCCGACAAAACATCAGATAAAACTTTGGAAAAATCTGCTAAAGCTGGATTACAAGATAACGCAGAACTACAATTACGGAGCCGAGCATCAGAACAAGAAAAAGGATACATACCATCATCAGATTCTAAAGACACTTGGGAACATCAAACAACAAGAACAGAAACAAAAAGTCAATTGCCTCAAGAAAAATTTAATGAAATTCCAATAGGAGACAGATTTATCTCCCCGGCCAAAACGGATTCTCCAAAATTGTGGACAATGAATTCTGAAGCGAAAACTGGCACGACTGACTCGGCATCGCAATATTACATGGCTTCATCTCTAGACGGAAACACAACGTCTAGTATTTCTTCGTTTGGGCCGGAGATTAAAAGCTCGTTAATCTCGCAATCGTCTGTTTCAAGAAGCCCAGATCTCAAAACAGCATTTATTGCTTCCAACGCCGAATCAACCGAAACTAGCCCCTATGGTTCGCTTGCTGATTCACCAGCATTTCAACCGAAGATCACTGGTTCAAAACCGCAAATGCCAGACATTACAAGGTCGGTCCCGACTATGGAGAGTGAAGTTTTGGGACCGGAAGTTGTATGGGATCAGGAAGGCTTAACCATGAGCCAAGTGGCCGATTTGGACAACTTCCCGTGTGTTTGCTTCTTTGAGGAGTGTGTGCAAGAGAGGAGTGGACACAGAGAGTTTCTGAGTCCTGGATTAAAAATATATTCCCGCCAACCAGTGATTTTACATCTGAAAACAAACAAGAAACAGGCAAGAGCAAGAACAATATACAAAGACCCTCGTGGAGCTTACTACGAAGTTGGACAAACGCTGATCATTCCAGATGATTACAAGGGTAGGTTGTGAGTGTTGTACCATTAATATGTAGTATTAACAAATGGTGAATGAATGTGAAAATGTTTGGGAGCGGGTGGGGGAGGGCCAGAATACGCGCTAAACTGCACCTAGAGGTAACAGTTCAGGTGGACTTGGCATTCTCTCCCCCCCCCCCCCCCCCCCCCCCCCCGGTCACACGACAGTGCACTACAAAGAACATTGTGACTTAAAACGGAAGAAATACGTCTGGACAGATGGGTGCTTTACTAATATCCTCCCTCAAACAGGGGAAATCTACAGGTCACGGGACAGTCTAATATTTCAGGGGGTGATAGATAGGCTGCATGCAGTCGTGGGACCTAGGCTGCACTCTTTGGTGGGACGTAGATGGGTTGGGGTTAGGGTCAGTTCTAGATGCTGTGGGGTCGTTAAAAGCATCAGAAAGCCGGGAAACCCAGTCTCGCAACCCTCTACAATGTTTTACTGTCATCTGGGGTAAGATATTAATGAAGAACCGACAGACAAAAAAAAAATTAAGATGTCTTGAAAGAAACTGACTCACGAATAGAATTGATTGCCCACATCAGAAAGAGACAATTTACATTCAATTTACATTCTTTGGTCATGTAATGAGAAGGAGAAAACTGGAGAACCTCGTGACAATAGGAAAGTTCCAGGCGAAGAAAGGCAGAGGGAGACCGAGAGAAAAGATGCTGGGAAGTTTGACATCATGACATGAAGGGTCATCTGTGGAGGTTGATTGGAGGTTGATCTTCTTCAAGAAGAAGATTGATAGATGCAGTTTCCTAAACCACGAATACCAGCATCTACATAGCACACACCAAGGCACACACTTATTATTACTGCACAAGCCACACACTTATTATTACTGCACAAGGCATACACTTATTATTACTGCACAAGGCACACACTTATTATTACTTCGCAAGACTCACACTTATTAATACTTCACAAGGCACACACTTATTATTACTGCACAAGGCACACACTTATTATTACTGCACAAGGCACACACTTATTATTACTGCACAAGGCACACACTTATTACTACTGCACAAGGCACACACTTATTACTACTGCACAAAGCACACACTTATTACTACTGCACAATGCAAACACTTATTACTACTGCACAAAGCACACACTTATTACTATTGCACAAAGCACACACTTATTACTACTGCACAAAGCACACACTTATTACTACTGCACAAGGCAAACACTTATTACTACTGCACAAAGCACACACTTATTACTACTGCACAAAGCACCCAAGTTCCTGGGTTCGAATCCACAGCGAGTCTATTGTTATAATTGACCCGAGGTCCCATGCCGACCCAGCATAAAGTGGGTATCAGGGAATGTCGATGTAAGTAAAGGGTGCTAATACAAATGTGCGTTTGGAACCACACGCCGATAGACAAGGAGTATGAATGGTGTCTGTTTATTTTACGGAATCAGTTAAATACGCCATCAAGTCAAACATTCTTTGGTTTGTTTGCTTTGCGAAAACAAAATCGTCACGGTCAGCGAGCATTTCTGAAATGTGAGCTTTAGGTTATAATTGTGACTAGGTTGTGTGCGCCATATAAAATTGCTTAGCTTTGATCGCCACCAATTAGCCCTGAAAGGGACTCTTACAGTGTTGATGCGATCAAAGGAGACAGATCTAAATACTGTCTCGACCGGCGACAAAGTCGTCCACCGGCGAGCCTATGGGCGACCCAGCCGCCAATCAAAATTTAAAGATAATTAAAAGGACGCATAATTAGGAACTCAGCTGTAATTCTTCCTCCTGCGTATTGTCGCTTCACTCTTTCTTCCAAATAAGCTGGGTCTTTGTTTGGAGGGTATGCATCTACATGTTGCTGTGTAAATTAGATCTACTAACTTGGACAAAATGTCAATACTCGATAGCTGGTACGTGCGCATATACTTGTGGTGAATGTATACTGCTGTAACTGAGAGGTCACTGAGAGGTCACTGAGACCGCGATAAAGATTAGCGTTGATGTTTGCTTTTCTAAGCCTATATTCAATCTTCAACTGAGGGGGGGGGGGGGGGAGGTGGGGGGGGGGGTGGCCGGCCCGGGGGGGGGGGGGGAATAATGTCTAAAAAGTCGCTGTGCACTTTACATACACGTTTTCATGGCACGGGCATACAATTATTTATAAACTTGTCGACAAATAAAGTTGCTCTATAGCCAATATGTTTTTATATTTTAGTACGTGTGCGCCTGATCGTGAAAATGTATGTCTGTGTAGTGGAAAGCGACATTGAGAACACGATGTATAATGCAGTCTTGGTGTATACGTTCGGTGTCCTTCCACCCCCCTCCCCCCTCCCTTTTTTTTCCATAGAGCTGTAGGTTACGACTGGCTGATGTAGACGTCAATTGTGCCCCAGTAATAATTTTTTGAGGTTTGGGGTTGGAAAAAGTAAAGGACCCTTTGGCACGCCATCAGGCTAATTGGTATATAGGGCTGGACCTATATTTTATAGACCAAACGGCACTTGGTGGGGGATGAGGTCAGCATCACACCGGCCGCATTTAAAATCTCAGCACTGCACCTGGTACGCACTCAAGGCTGGGTCGACTTGGGAGCCAAGGTCATTTTTGAAAAAAGTCCGGCCGCTATGAGGACCCGAACCTACGACTTTCCCATCCGCAAGTGAGCTTCTAGCCGCGAGACCACGGCGTTTCCCCTAAAACACATACCTGCCATAGAAGTCCGCAACTCATGAAGGGTAACGAGCAGACGACTGTGTTCCAGTAGAAAGTAATAACCTTGGCCCTCAGGTCTGTCCAACCTACAGTGGGTACTATGTAAAGTCGAGGGAAGTTAAGTGTTCGGTGTGATGCTGACCCCATCACCCACTGAGTACCGACTCATGGTCTATAGAATATAGGTCTAGCACTATATATATTTTAGGGGTCGCCGTGGTGTCGCAGCTAGACGTTTCGCCTGCGGATCTGAAGGTCGTGGGTTCGGGCTCCTCACGAAGCTGGGTTTTTTTTTTTTTTCTTTTAAAAAATGACCCTGGCTAACAAGTTGACCTAGCCTTGTGTGGATGCCGAGTATAGTCAAGGAAAGTAAAGGCGACCGACGAGATGTTGACCACATCACCCACCAAATACCGATTGGTCTATTAAATATAGGTCTAGCCCTATATGCCCATTGTTAATTTTAGAGAAAATATTCATCGCACATCGGACATGACCATAAGTGCTCCAATCTTCTCCTAAGTATCTCTTCAAGTGTTCGCCTAAAGGTATGGAAAGAGGCCTTTGCTTCCCTTGTACCATGCCTTCTGCTATTATTCCTTCCAATCAGCCGTGGCTACTGATTTGACCAAAATATTTCAGTTTCCGAGACAAGATACTGTTTACTTGCCAGTCTTCTTTGATGTTCAGATCTCTTAGGATGTCGGTATCTCCTAATTCGTATCCATGATGTTCTGAGAATCTGTGTCCCTGTATCCTCTCCCCGAACAATCTATGAGCATTATTTTCATAGAGCAAATATCTAACAGAGCATTGTTTTCATAACTACCTGCCAAAAAAGTATCTTAGCCTACACATTTCTCCTGCTTCTTGTAGTTTCAGTCTAGTGTCTCTCTAAATCCTTGAGTTTCACTCGAAATGCCCCTATATATATATTTTTTTTTAAACCCACGAGTGTATTGCTTTCAAAGACGCTCAGTCCTGGTAAAGCCAGATTTCTTAGTACGCTGCGACCAGCTATAAACAAGATTATAACATATTATATTTTCGGAGGGATTCACAGACGTTCTAATCACACATCGCACGTTGATCGGTGCCCTATGTAAGGCAGATTGATCTATACTTTATAAACCAATCGGCACTAGGTGGGTAATGTGGTCGACACCAAATCGGTTGTCTTTACCTGGTAGAAACGTTGCAAAAACCTGAAATTAACAACGTAATTAGAGACCAATAACAGCATTCTCTATTAATTAATCGCAAATACCCCTATGATTTCCATCTCACACAATGTCCTCATCATATTTCTTCATGTCTTCAACTCTCTTATCCGTCTATTATTATGCTGTATTGTGGGATACAGAAAATAGGAGCGAAGGAAGAGAAGAGGAAGTTGTCAAGGAGGAGGAGGAAGACAGAAGAAGTAGTAGTAGAAATAGTAGTAGTAGTAGAAGTAGTATAGTAGTAGAAGAAGTAGTATTAGCAGTAATGGTTGTGGTGGTTTTGGTGGAAGTGATGATGGTGGTGGTAGTAGTAGTAGCAGCGGTGGTAGTAGTAAGGGGTTTGTAGTGGTGGTAGTAGTAGTAGTAGTAGTAGTAGTAGTAGTAGTAGTAGTAGTAGTAGTAGTAGTAGTAGTAGTAGTAGTAGTAGTAGTAGTAGTAGTAGTAGTTGTTGTTGTTGTTGTTGATGTTGATGTTGTTGTTTTTGTACAATCACAACTACCAAAAAATACTCTGAATACAGAAATACGAAACCATAACAACCACAAATTTCAGGTGAAATTTGTAATATGTTTACATTTCAATATTAACAACAATGTAATTATTTCCGTAGGCTGGTTTGAACTGGTGCCGTCTGATTTCAGTCGCGCCACTTCTTACCTCTCCATTGAAGAAGTTGCGAAAGCATTACCAAAGAAGTTCTTCACTAGATCCAACCTCAAGGGCATCAGAATCGAAGGCGAAGGCGACCAACAGAAATATCTGGAAAGACGAATTCGAGCAGGGTCTGTTTTAGAAACGAAAGGTATATATAACTCGTATATTTAATCATGATCTAATTATACTTATGTAGCCGTTATTCTAATACCTGGTAACACAGTGTCTGTTATGTCGGTCTATAATATAAAGGTAAAAGGTAAAGTCGGGAGATGTGAACCAGCGTCATTGCACACGGTTATAAACCAGAAGTGCTCTACCATCAGTATAGACAGCTGATAAGAAACTGTCCGCCTGTATCGCCGTCTGCACGTAACTCCGTAGCTACAGCGACATTGCTCCATTTACCCCATAGTGTTAACTCTGGTACCCATTACCTGAAGGCTGGGTGAACTCCGGGAACGGCCCGGTTTTAAACACCAGACGTGGGCTAACGTGACACCTAGAATATGCAGGATTCATTAAGAATGATTGCCCATGTTACAATAAAAGAAATATTTAATGGATATACAAGTTTGGCATTTTTAAAGGCTTGTATAAGTTTTAAGTTTTGTGAGACCTCCTGTGGTCTTGAGGCTGAAAGCGGTACTGGACAAAAAATGAGGAGCATCCAGCACACACACACTGAGGGTCGCTGCAGCAAAAGCAACTGCCACTATGGACACGATTCAGAAGCCAGGATAGGAGATTGAATACCGTTAAGACATCATCAGAGCTACAACTGCCACTATGGACACGATTCAGAAGCCAGAATAGGAGACTGAATACCGTTAAGACATCATCAGAGCTACAACTGCCACTATGGACACGATTCAGAAGCCAGGATAGGAGATTGAATACCGTTAAGACATCATCAGAGCTACAACTGCCACTATGGACACGATTCAGAAGCCAGGATAGGAGATTGAATACCGTTAAGACATCATTAGAGCTACAACTGGCACTTATATCGAAGTATACTAGACAAGTCTACAACTTTAAACTTTTCCTAACATTTTAAGATGCCACACGCATATATGGAAGCTGAAATATTTTGGTCATATCAAGCGCCACGACGTATTGGAAAAAATAATAGCAGAAGGCATGCTACCAGGAAGGAGGGACAGGGGCCGACTAGCACGAAGATGGGCACAGGTGACTCCTTGAGTATGATAGTACATGAGACGGGAGAAATGGCGAGAGACCGAGTTTCTTTCAGGCAGACCGTGATGACGGCGACGTTGTGCAAAAGACCTGCTACATGATGATAATGTTGACACGCATATATTTATTAAATATTTATATTATAATGACAGTTTAAAAAATCGATAATCAATATCGATGACCCTGTAATAACACAGTACAACATAACTGCCATTATTACACTATTTACCACTTTTGTAATGTAGTCAGAGGTGGCCTTGGAGCCTTTGAGCATTTAGGGCCAAATGGCTTGTGCAGTCGCCATGGACTGTGAAGGTTAAGGTTTTATTTTTGCCGCAACAGAAAAATAAAAGCAAAACATAACCTTACCAAGAACTCCAACCTATGCCTTTTGTATGAGACCCCGAATAATTAACAAATAAAAGATTTAAAATATTAAACGTTTTTTTTTAATTTCAAAAAGAAAAATGAACCTCAATAGACACCAAATTATAGCTGTGTGTGCATCTGTGTGTGTGTGTGTGTGTGTGTGTGGATATGTGTGTGTGCACGTGTGCGTGTGTGTGTGTGTGTGTGTGTGTGTGTGTGTGTGTGTGTTTAAGAAGTCATCAGACGCCATAGTCCGTTTTGACTGTGTTTTCTTCACTCAGTGTGTTTAGATTTTCCGTGTCATTGTGCAGAATGTCACTGTGTAGTTAGATACTGCTGCTGCCACTACTACTTCTTCTACTAAATACTACTTCTACCACTACTTCGCCTTCCTCCTCCTCCTTCTCCTGCTCATCCTCCTAATCCTTTTTCTCCTCCTCCCTCTCTTCTCCTCCTCTTCTTCCTCCTCCTCCTTCTTCTTCTGTGGTTCCTTCTGCTCATCTTTTTCTTCGTCCTTCTCCTCGTTCTCATTATAACTTCTTCCTCCTACTCTTCTTCTCTTTCTTCTTCGTCTTCTTCCCTTCACTTTATTATACGTTTGTTTCTACTTCTTTTTAATTATATAAGTTTTTCCTTTTGTGTGTGTATGATAATGCCCACATGGAATTATTTATCTGAATTCTTTTCCTACCACCTTCGAGATAGTTCCCTGACCCACATATATTTATTTGTAGGCACATTTACAGCAAAGTGGAAGACTAGAGCAGAAACTGGATTGTTTAAGAAGAAAACCACAGAATGGGAGTTTCAAGAAATGACCTACTTGAAGTGTATGGACCACGATCTACAAGAAATACTAATACCTATAACACACAAAGGTCGGTGAAAGCTTTCAGATGTTGTTACTTTTTTTTTTTTTTTAATTTATCAAGATGAGTATAATGCAGAGCCGCCTTAACAGCATTATGGGCCTCTGGGCAAACTAGTGTGCTGAGGCCCCTACACCAACCACTCGCATTGTTTCGGGGACCTCTGCTTGTGGGATCACAGGGCAAATACTAGGCGGGCCCATACGTTAATACAGCACTGTGATGATGATGACGGTGGCTGTAGTGGTGGTTGTTAAGATGATGATGATAACGATTAGGATGGTGATGATGATTAGGGTGACAATGATAATGTTGACAATGATGATGATGATGATGATGACGATAATGATGATGATGATGACAATGATGATGATGATGATGATGTAGACAATGATGATGATGATGATAATGTTGACAATGATAATGATGATGTTGAAAATGATAATGATGATGTTGACAATGATGATGATGATGACGATAATGATAAGGATGACGATGATGATTATGACGATGATGATTAGGATGACGATGATGATGTTGACAATGAGGATGATGACGAGGATGGTGATGATGACGACGGTAATAATTAGGATGATAATGATGATGACGTCGATGATGATTGAGATGATGATGATGACGACGACGATGATGATGATTAGGATGAGGATGATGAAGACGTCAATGATGATTAGGATGAGGATGATCATGACGACGATGGTAATGATGACGAGATGATGATTAGGATGATGATGATGATTAGGATGATGATGATGATAAGGATGATAATGTAATTTCTAGAAAAATGTGTCTTAAATCTCAAGTTTGATGCACAAAGAAAAAACAAAATTGGATGTATACTTTATATTCCATTCAGAAGCTAGGAAAGCGCCTTTATTTAGCAGAGTATAAATGCCATTACATTTAAGCTTTAGTAACTATTATGAACAAGTAAACTGTCTAGTATTAAATTCATTGCTTCTGTATCATCATCAGTCATTTGTCCTTTACAGAACGTCGCTCTCTCCTCATCACATGCCTAAAAGCCTCTCTTTCTCTAGCCAAATCTCCAACCCTATGTGCTTTCATAGCCAATGCTTCTTCAATTCCCATATATCCATCTTCGTGAAGGTCAGCCTCTGTCTCGTGTTCCAGAAACTGCACCCCCCAACACCGTTCTCTCCGGACCACCATAGCGCTTGACGTGTCCACAATACTTCAGCTTTCGGTAGAGAATGCTGTTTATGAGCCAGTTCTCCTTGATCTTCGGGTCATGTAGAATTTCGACGTTTTTCTTCTTCTTCTTGGTCCACTGTAGTCTAAGAATCTTTCTGTGGCATTTCGGTTCAAAAGCTGCGATTTTTCTGAAATGGCCTTGTTTTCTCTCCCCCCCCCCCCCTCCCTTCTTTTTTTTGCACCTAATACCTACATATGTTCAGAAACCCCAAGAATGTCAATGGATGCCTCACCTTCTCATTTTACAGCATACCATATGCTTATGTGTACTGATTCATTATTGTTTATATACTGATTATATACTAAATAATTAGAAAAAAATATCTACTGGAAGCAAGAAGCAGCAATTAAATTGGGAAATAGCAAGACAAGAACATGTTTTGTCACCAGATAGCTTCTCTCTTTATATTGAAATAATAGTGAGGGAGATCAAGGATAGAGAGGGAACACCCCATTCCCCCTTCCATTTCTTCTCCTCTTTTTTCCCCCTTTTCCCCTTTAAGAAAAATATTTTTTGGCGGGAATGTGATAGAAATAATTATCGTGGAGTGTCGTACTCAAAATAAATTCATACTTTTTTTTTATATAAGCCTAAATTAGCTGACATCTCCTGTATTTGTGATGTCCCTTTTTCAGGTAAATTTAGCGCTATTTATGAGAGAGGTCGTTTAAACCAGAATGCCGTGTACAGTATGAAGGACATTCTTTCTGACCTTGGCCTGCCCATCAAGGTCAGACTTCTGTTCGGGAAAGCCCCTGTTGTGCCGTGCATTTTTACGGGTAGGTAAACCCGCTTTACAGTTTATTTAAAAATATTTATATAGATTGAAAGGATGCATGTTTATTTGCTCATAATAATGATGAATAACGTTTTATCTATATTAAATGATAAAACTTGATGACAACAGGAAATCTTTATATATATATATATATATATATATATATATATATATATATATATATATATATATATATATATATATATATATATATATATATATTCGCTTCGTATTCGCTTTGGGGCCGAATGGTGGACGTAAAAACTATTTGGTATTCGGCCGAATACTTGCGGTCGGGCCGAAACGAATAGTGGTTACCTTACACCCGTTCCTGCATACACTGCGATGGACTGAAATAACTCTCATTAACACAATAGTTGCTGTTGCCCAAGTCTGTCGTTAGGGGGGAAACTGCGACCCGGTTGCGTGGTACAGCAGCTGGCAAGGTCTTTGCCTGCTGACTAGACCGAGGCATTACAGCAGATGTTCTCAAACTGAGCGCGTATGCCAAGGGGGCTGCGGCGAAAATCAAGAAAAGTCGGCTATAAATTGAGACATTATTAAAGAAGGCATGAAGATACTTAAAAGTTACAATTTAAATTGTCTTTCCTCACCATTGTCAAAAAGAGTTTTTTTATTTCCCTTTTTTACCCTCAAAGTGTATCAAACTGCATAAAATGAAAACCGCAGCGTGCTAAAAATTGTCTTTGTATTTATCTCGAGGTGCGACCGATCCTCCATCTGTGTTTGTGAAGGTGCAGCGGATAAGTAAGGTTGTGATTACATTTTGGCTGCAATCTTAAAGTTGAAAATGTGGTCTGTACAATAGTAACTGTTAGCTTCGTCAAGAAAGCACTTATATTTTAAGGCAATGAGTTCTTTTGTTGTTGTTGCTTGTCTCTCTCTCTGTGTGTGTGTGTGTGTGTGTGTGTGTGTGTGTGTGTGTGAGTGAGAGAGAGAGAGAGAGAGATATAGAGAGATAAAGAGAGAGAGAGAGAGAGATTATGCATTTTTGTTTTTTCGGGGTGTCTTCGCCCAAATCAAATTTGAAGATATTGCTAACGAGAATATGAAGGTCCGTTCAAATGACATTGAACGAACTGCCGAGCGAACGATGGTTTTGAAAGAGGCGGGAGCCCGAAGACAATTAATCACAGACATTAGAAGGAGACAGTCGTCATTTTTCAGCCATATTATGAGAAAAAGAAAAATGGAACATGTGGTTACCACTGGGAAGATCTGTGAAAGGAGAGATAGAGGAAGACAACGAGAGAAGATTCTTGACAGTCTTGTTGCATGACATGGAGGTGTGTCAGCACACGAACAAATACATGCTGCAGGCGATCGCGAATTGTGGCGAGACATAATCGCCCACCCCAGTCGGCAAGGCACCTGATGATGATGATGATGATGATGATGATGATGATGATGATGATGATGATGATGATGATGATGATGATGACGATGATGATACACTATTCGTATTCGTATTCGGCCGAATAGTTGGTCCCACTATTCGTATTCCATAATAGTGAAAATCACTATTCGGTACAGACCTAATATATATTAATAGTAAGGGGAATGAATACAAAGAGATCAAATTTATAGCTCTTGGCTAAATGGGTAAAGAAGAGGCAAAACAACTAACTTGATCTGCGATTTTTCATGAAACAATGGCAAACTGCTAAACATCAAATTTGACTAGAAAAGCCAAACAGCAAAAAGTGATTGTGTTAGTTCGTTCAACAAACTTTATATTTTCCCAATTTTACTTGTACATAATATCCTTTGGTATTTATGTTCATAACAGTGGGTGTCTATTACTCTTTCAATGTATTAATTTACTCATTGTCCTGTGGTGCCATGATATGTCACATAAGGCTCACAGTCTATTCCTTCATTCCGTTCTATCCTGTGTAAGCAGTTCAATATCATGGATGAAATCCAATCCATTATCTTTGGTCTTTCTCGTCATCGTTTGTTTTCAGGTTTCTTTTTGAGCTTCCTCACCTTCTTAATCCCTTTAATTGGTTTTTCCAAAAAGCCGACCTCTTCCGGCGGGGTCTCTCCAGCGGCTTGTGTTCAGTCTTCATCGCCATGAATTTTCAGGAATTATCAGCATCGGTGCCTGAGAAGAAGAGCAATGTTGCTTTTCTGTAACATCATGGCATTCTGTCTGCATAGTACCAGACGTTGTGGCAACAATCATGCGATGGTGTTATAGCTGAACGAAAGCTACGACTAATGGCGGTGTGGAAAGTCGACCTGTCGTCTGAATATATCGTTGATGCAAGGAACATGACTGGAAGGGTGGCGCCTGCCTTACAGACAGATCATTCTGTTTCTGTACTAATGGTCTCACGAGTTGGCAAGCACTGACTTTTGCCAAGTAGAGCTGGGCATTTCGAAGAATACAACGGTGGTGTGAAGTAACTACTTTCGGGAGGTTTGTGACAATACATTATTACTGAATTCTGCGATGATGGACAGAAAGAACACCACTGTTGAAAATTATGAATGTCTGTTTACAAGGAAAATAAATCATCAGATCTACTAACGTGTAAAATTGTTCTGACTGTCAGTTCGTGAACATACCTAATGCTGAAATAGCACAGTTCATGATTACATGTGTATATTGGTTGTTAGTTGCGTATCATTTACAGGACGTTGCAGAACCAACACCATCACTAGCTGTTGTGGTTTTTCTAGGCAAATTTATGTCCAGTAGTTTGCCATTGCTGCCTGGACGGTCGGCTTCTCGATACCACTGTCGAAACCCACGCAAAGCGCATGGCCCGCTGCTAGGATCGAGCCTGGCACCCCGGCATTACGAAACGCGTGTATTGGTTACGTATATCAAATAATGAAATATGACATTTCATGTATGTTGGTTTTGTGAACCTAATGATGAAATATGACCTTTCAGGTATGTTGGTTGTGTGTATCTAATGACGAAATATGACATTTCAGGTATGTTGGTTGTGTGTATCTAATGACGAAATATGACATTTCAGGTATGTTGGTCATACGTAGTTCGGCTATTGACGAAGCGGTTGTCGGAAGCACCATTATCAACAAACGAAATGTTCTGTTTGAAGTTCCTACCAAGGCTCCGGTGAAGGTAGAGTAGTTCTCTCATGCTCATGCATCTTTTGTTTATTCTTGAACATAATATTGTGAGGGTGAGCACATGTACTCAACGTATTTGTTTGATTTTGTAAACATGTACTTATGTTAGCACGTGCGTGTGTGTGTATGTAGGGTGCGTGTGTGTGCGCGCGCTCGTGAAATGAACAGGCAGGCACATTGACTCGTTCTGCACCAGTTGACGCATGGCAAGGTTTTATGTTTTGTTTTGAAAAGTATAACCTTTAGAATGCATTTTTGTAGGGGGAGGTTAAAAAAGTAAACAGTGCTTCACAATATCTCTTGAAAAAAGTATTTTATTATAGATTTTAAAATAATAATAATAAAAGTTAAAGTATGAAGTTTTAAGTTTGAACAACGGATCAACATCTTGGCACACGGGTAGTAACCCATAAGTACTCCATTCTTCTTCTAACTTAATTCTGAGTCCGATGAAGCTCAGTACAGTGCACAGGCTCTGCAGCACCAGCGAGTATCCTGAAATATTTTGAGTAGATTTTGAACTCCAGATTTTGCCCTGTTAGCGCCGTTAGGTTACATTTATCGATTTCCAACTGCCAAGGGAGTTTTTACAACAATGCACACGGTCGTTCGATCTCACTACCCAGAGACCAGGGAAATTACTAGAATTCCAAGTCCACGGGGAAAATCCCAGCTCTTACCGGGGATTGAGCCCAGAACCTCTAGTACTCTTGGCTGACACAATGCCTCGAGACCACGCAGAAAGTAAAAGTATAAGACTCTTTTCCCCTCCTTCAGGTGTATTGTAATCAAACATATAGGGCTAGATCTACATTTTTAGACCAATCGGCACTGGGTGGGTGATTTGGTCAACATCACGCCGGCACCTTTACTTCCCAGGTCTATACCAAGTACCCACTCAAGGCTGGATGGACCTGGGAGCGACATTACTCTTTCAAAAGAAAAGTAAAAGTCCGCCTGTATCAGAATCTGAATCCACTACCTTCCGATCCGCAGGCGAGCGTCTGGCGGCTATACCAAAGCGGCTCCCGTTGAATGTTGAATTAAGAATCGATATCACGGTACTCGGGACACTCCCATAAGTGCTCAGTCTCCATCTTCAGCAGCAAGTGAAGAGTTCCAATTCCGATGGTACCAGTAACCGTCTGATTGTATATCTGTCTCGTCCTTCCCTAGGTGCTGATAGTCTGCCAGAGTGGCTCCCGTATTAATATGACTATCATATATTTTTAAATCTTATTCTTATTGTTCTTGTTATGTGTGTGTGTGTTTGTGTGCGTGTGTGTGTGCGTGCGTGTTTGTGTGTGAAAACAATATTCTTTAAAGCGTTTTCTCTTAAAATATATTTGAAACAGGTCAAGTACCTCTCAAAAGATGACCAGTTTGCTGAAACGACCACTTATAAAGATGCCCAGAAACTGTGCAGAAAATACGCCAGGCTGTTCAGCTCCATGATAAAACTGTCCCCAGACCTGGACACCGATCAGAAGACCATCATGCACGTGCCTACAGATCCTTCCGTTATGCGACAAGTGGACGAAGCACTCCGTGCTCTTGATCTCATCACAGACATCAGTTTTACAGGGGAACCTAAAGATCAATTCTTGGATTCTTCTGATTCCGGCTCTATCAATAGCGATGATCAAATCATCATGCCCAAGGGGGGTACCCTTGAAGATCTGGAAGAGTTTAAAGGTAGAGAATCGCAAACTCATGTGTAGTCTTGTGTAGAGTAATATTCTTGAAACCGAAATTGATTGTTTTGGGTTCTGGTGCTCTGTTTTTTAAGGGAAAAAGAATAGACCTCTTGCCCCTTAATAAGCGTGTCGTAAAAGGCGACCAATTAAGAATTTGATTTAAAAAATGGATGTGTTGGAGTGAAGGGCGCAGATTTTAGCTGTAGATAACAACGTGCCAACCGCCTTTTCAATTGTCAGTGCTCAGACAATTACAGACCGTTCATTTGCGATAAAACGACGAATCGTCTATCAATGGATGCAAGCATTAGGATTTGTTTTTTGTTCTGAATGGATTCGTCTATCTGTTGGAATCGTAGCACTGCTGATCTATCTGTCTTTTGTGTGTTCTAACTTGCCTAATATCTGTCAATCCATCTGTCTGTCTTGTCAGTATGCATGTTTGTAGTTTTTGCTGCCTGTTTGACTATCTTCTTACCCATCTACCCGTCCATCTGCCTGCTGTGAATGCATGCATATGAATGCCTGTCCGAATAATTACCTGTCTTATTATCTGTATGCATGTTGGTCTGTAAGTTCTTTTCTTTACGTCTGTCTCTCAATGTGCCTGCCTGACTGAATGCATGTTTGCTTGTTCGGATCTGTATATGTGTATGCATGTCTGCCTTCCTCATATGTGAATACAGAAGGGACGTCCAGTTGTCATGCATCAAATCAGACTTTTTTCTGCAGCAAGGCGTTGTTGACAACCAGAGTTAACAGTTTCGATTCCCAGTATGGTGCTTAAAGATTTCGATTTGATGTTGTCTAGTGTGTCGTCATGTCTATTTAATTGTTTCTGTTGATCATAACATCTTACTTTGTTTATTACACCGTCGCATGTAAATAGTACCTTTTAATATGCCTTAGTATGCTTGGAAACACGTATAAAAATATACAAAAGTCTGTGTTAACGTGTTAAAAAATAACGCCTATGGATGTGTTACCAGCACTATGAGTCATCCGTGGCATTAACTAACTCTCCAATACGTCCAGATCTGTCAGAATTTTGGGAGGTTCCAGTGTGTATTCTTCTTCTTTACGTCCTTTGTTTTTAACCTCTTCGGGTGTCGAAGGAGATTTAAGGTTCTGCTTCGTATTCTTCTGCCCTCTTTGACCAAAGACACATCGTAGTACTGTAGAGTTTCTCTGATGTTATCTTCCCATCTTGTTCTTGGTCTATCTCTGGCGTCAACGTCTTTCTCTTTTCGCTAATGCCTTGTATGGCATAGCATCAGAAAGCATTCTCTCCAAGTGAGCAAACCATTTGAATTGCTGTCTCTGTATGTAATTTAGAACTGGTTCAGTGCCGACTCTATGTCGTATGACGTCTTTCCTGATTTTATCACTTCTGGTCACATAGCATAGGGTGGGAAAGAATATGCTTTGTATGAGATGTTTCTCTGTGCTTATTGGGATTGCCTTATGCTGGGCCTGGCATCTTTACTTATACTGTCAGTGTAGGTGATAATCAGGAGTGGTAATAAGACACATCCCTGTCTTACTCCAGATGTTACTTTGAATTGTTTAGATGTGCCCTGATTTATTACAACTACGCTTCTACAATCTCCATATAAGCTCTTGCTTACCCCGTGAATCTCCGTAAAAATTGCACCTGTGAACCGAACGACGTAGTCGAGAAACGAATCAACATGAGGCAAATTGCTCAATCATTTTGCTAATGAGACCCCCCCCCCCTTTTTTTTTTTCCCCTCCCCCCCCCTCCCCCACCAGTATAACTAGTTTATCTCGTATGAGTGATTGAGCAAATTATACGATGTTAATAAAACCAAGCAAAGGCGTTGAGTCATCAAATATGTCATAGCATAACAGCCTACCTTGATTTTTTTTTTTAATAGACTGATGCCCCCCCCCCCCCACCCCACCCCCACCCCACAATAAATTAATTGATTAACAAGCTTTATTAATCGTTCATTTATTTATTTATTCGCTCATTAATTCATTTATACTGTGTTTTTACTTGCTACCTAAATGATCAAATGATCAGATTATTTGAGCTGAATACGTGTCTCACTGTACCATGGAACTCTGCACTAATGTTTCAGACCTCCCGTATGGGATCAGATTATTTCAATCTCAGCTCCGTGCACAAACTGTATAGTACCGGTGAACGCATCAGCATGCAGAAGCTTCGGAACATGGAAGCTCGCGCATTTTGCAGCCCTACCCTCAGTAATGTTCAATGGGGGGGGGGGGGGGGGGGGGGTTAAACTGTTGAGCTGTACTAGCTCCACTGTCCGGGTCATGGCGTCCGCCTGGAAGTCCCGGGTTCAAGCCCCAGTGAAGGCCGGGATTTGTTTTCACGTGGATTTCTAGTAATTTTTTCTGGTCTCTGAGTAGTGAGATCGGACGCCCGTGTGTATTTTTATTCCCGGAAAAATATACATTGACATTTGAAAATCGAAATAAGCAGCCTTACGGCGCTGCCTAGGCAAAATTAAGAGTTAAAAATCTTCCTAAAGTATTTCAGGACCCTCGCCGGTGCTACTGAGTTCGTTCATTGCGCTGAAAATCTTTTGGACTCAGGTTTAAGTAAGAAGTAGAAGGAGCACTTATGGGTTAATACCCTTGTGCCATGATGTTGATCTGTTGTATACACGAAACCAAGTTCCACTGTCATCATTTTGATGTTCATGTTTATAAAAAAAAAATTTCCCCTAGAATTGTTGTTCCTATGGTGTCCAATTTTTCCACGATGTTGTCTGAGGTGAAACAGTTTGTGGAAACAAATAGGCGTGTGTTTATATGTCATGCATGTGTAAAATACAACAGCTGGGAAATTCTGGCTCACTGAATAATTAACAACCTTCTGAGGATTTTGGAAGCAACGTGTCCACATCACTTCTAAGAATACGCGTAGTGGGAGTAAAGATCGACACAGCCAAGCATGAGAAGCACACCGGACGCACACAAAGTCTTGTTAACTAACATAGGACTGGTACCTTAACCGCACGATGCTGATGAATATGTTGAGAGGGGAATCTGAGCGCCTATAGATGTGTCCGGAGTGCTGTGAAGATAATTTAACTCAAAACTACAATAATAATTTGTTCATTTCTTCATGGATAAAAGACATTAATATTACAATTGAATAAACATTTATAAGATTATTACAATGTGTTAGCAAATTTTTACACAGAAAGATAGAATTAACTAACTGACGTTCAACTCCTACCAGGAGATCACACCGAGCAATAAACACCCGTGACACATAATGCCACTATTCGGATGAGGATCACCCTGGGACAGGTCCCAGAAACCCTCTTCGGCCCATAGGTTGGGTTATATTAGGGCTTCCCGGCAACAGCCAGGGCAGGATTTTGAAAAAAAAATTGCTTCAGACATTGGGACGCAGCATCATTATAGAATTGACTAAATTATTGATTAATTTGTGGATTTGTTAACTTAACTAACACTTTATGGTTTCTTAATAATAATCTATGTCAGATAGACTTGTGTGTTCTCAGAGAGAGATAATACAATTTGTGAATTAAGTCCCACGTGCAAGCTGTTCAGGAATACACTAGGATTAGCATTATCATTTCATCTTTGTTCACACCCTCCCCCCCCCCCCTCCCCACCCCTCCCCGATCCAGAATTGCAGTCTGTATGATTAAATTCTCAATGATGAGAATCAAGCAGGTACAAATCATGTCAGAGTGAATACAGTGGGAAGTAAAGACGGCCGGGCTAATTCTGTCAATATCGTTCGTAAAGTACTAATTGGTCTATACAAGTTAGGGCTCGCGCCACATGCTAAAAAATGCCTCCTAGTCTGGAAATGAATCTGTTACTTCAATCAATCAGGTGTCATCTCCACAATGAAGGTTGGCTGCAATGGATCGACAACATTCTCTATCTCTTGTCTTTGTAGTACACTCTTTCAGACTGCTGTTCATCCATCGCTTGATGTTGTACTTCCACTTGTATCGTTGTCTACCTTTTGATCTCTTGCCTTTGTCTTTACTCTCTAGTATAGTCCGTTGCAGAAGTCATGCCCAACATGAAAAATGTGTATGTTCTGTGTAAAATGTAGAAATTTGGCATGCAACCTGGTAATGATTATGTTCTTCTAAGAGATAAACTTGTTTTTAATGTAAAACAAATATCTAGTTTCCAATTGCCTTATCTGCGGTATGTGCGGGGTAGAGAGAGAGAGAGAGAGAGAGAGAGAGAGAGAGAGAGAGAGAGAGAGAGAGAGAGAGAGAGAGAAAAGGGAGGGGACACGGATTCAGAGTAAACAGTCAGTATGCTTACAGTTAATTGAGCAAGGGAACTTTTCAAAACATCAAATTGCAAGCGTTTCATTCATATGTCAATCTCAAGTGGTCATCCCGTAAGTCACATGAAAAAATATTTTTATTGTATGCGGAACAGGCTATCGAAACAATAACTAATCATCGCTGCACTTGTGAACTGATTTCCAATCTCCACGCGTGCGTCTGCGTCAATTACTGTATCCTCATCATGCAGCAGGTCCTTTGCAGAACGTCGCACTCATCACGATCTGCCTGAAAGCAACTCGTTCTTTCACAAGCTTTCCCGCCACATGTACTTTCATACTCAAGAAGTCACTTGTATCATGTGCCCATCTTCGAGTTGGTCGGCCCCTGTCCCTCCTTTTTGGTAGCATGCCTTCTGCTATAATTTTTTCCAATCCGTCGTGCCGCTTGATATGACAAAAATATTTCAGCTTTCCAGACAGGATGCTGTTTATCAGCCAATCTTCCTTGATGTTCAGATCTTTCAAGATGTGAGTATTTCTTCTCTTCTTTGTCCAAGATATTCTGAGAATCTTTTTATAGCATTTCAACTCAAAAGCCCCTATTCTCTTTCTTAAGAACTGGGAGATAGTCCACGACTCACATCCGTATGTTGCTACAGGGAAGATTCATGGTCTCAAAATTCTAATTTTGATAAACTTTTTTTTTTCATTTTTTTTTAGGGGTAAACAATTTATTAGTCGAGCAAAAATCAAAGAAATTCACCGCTTTAAAAAAAACAGTAGTACCTGTACAATTGTAAATTATAAAATCACCAGGACGTAAAAAATGTGAGGCCACGTGCACGAATTCGTGTTGATCTGTACAGAAGTTTTCGAAATATTCGTTAAAGTAAAAGGATACGACTTTTGAAATGTACTAAAGGCAGAGACGTTTACTTCGTTTGTTTCAAAAGTGCTCAATCATTTCCTAGTTATACAAAAGACTGAACCTTGTTTATCGTTACTGATCTTTACCCTGAGTTTTGTCAATATCATAGCCTTTTTTCACTTTGATAGACTTCATATAACTATCACATTCCGTCTTCGCAAATTTCAGATACTTTTGCAGTTCTCTTTCCATGTAGTTTGCATGGGAGTTCAATGATGCAGTGAAAAGTGGATCGGTTGTAACAGCCATTTCAAACAGCCGGGGTGAGGAAGTCATTGTACAGCCAATTATTGTATGTTCTTCAGTCACATGCTTCAACTCCACCAATCCGGTGAAGTCACACTCTTGTTCTGGTGATTGTCCGTACACAATTCTAGCCCTAAGGCCTTCCTTAATCATCTCTTGATCAAACTCTGTCCATCGAAACACCCTACAGGCGGCGCCTTATTTACATGCCGTGAAAATTTTTCGTTGATCTCTGCTATATAGAAGTCACCCTTGGTGTCCATTGGAAATAACACAGTCTTGCCTTTGTCGTCAGTGCAAGCTAGTGACCTCAAAAGCTTTCTTTTCTCTGTTTTCCTTTTACTGATGTAGGTGATGGTGCCTTCAAAGATGCTGTTTGAGTAGTACAGACCAGGGGAAAGCGTTGCTTTTTGATATACGGTATCCTGAAGAAAAACACAAGACAAACTATTGTTAGTTAATGTTATATGTGGGTTTCCTTACGTGTAATGAAACTACGCATAAAGAAAAATTCATATACGGAAAAGATTAGTTTTAACAACAATTTCATGTCCATCCTGTGTGGGTTATAACTGGGATATATAGAATACAGAACTCCCCTTTTTTTAATTGCACGTTTTAATATTGTATAATTGTCTCCTAGTGGGGTTCATGGCTTCTTGGGGGGGGGCCCACTGCCGCCTAACAAGCATGTCGTAAAATGCGACTAATTAGCGGTGTTTCCTTCGAAATTGTAAGGCATCTTCCTGACATACGAGGAACCAACACATCTGTAAATTAGATGCAAAACTTTAAAACAAGATCAAAACCTAGAAGTGGACGTACAATCAGAATTTCCCGCCGAAGTTTACCTGCTTAGAAGAGGAGAATATTTATAATTGTCAAATGTAAGTTGCAAAAAAAACGTATTATACCTGTTTTGGTGAGGTCTGCGCACTGCTGTTGCTGCTGATGATGCTGCTACTTCTTCTTCTTCTTCTTCTTCTTCTTCTTCTTCTTCTTCTTCTTCTTCTTCTTCTTCTTCTTCTCCTTCTTCTTCTTCTTCTTCTTCTTCTTCTTCTTCTTCTTCTTCTTCTTCTTCTTCTTCTTCTTCTTCTTCTTCTTCTTCTTCTTCTTCTTCTTCTTCTCCTTCTTCTTCTTCTTCTTCTGCCAATCCTCCTCATCTCCCTAACAACCTACTCCTTCATCTTTTTAGTTTTCCCCTTATCCTTCTCCACCTGTCCCTCCTCTTCCACCACCACCCACCGCCACCTTCTTTTTCTTCTTCTTCTTCGTCTCATTGTCATACTTCTCCTCTTTTCCCTCCTTCTTCTTCTTCTTCTTCCTCCTCCTCCTCCAAATTCTTCTTCTTCTTTTTCTTCTTCTTCTTCTTCTTCTTCTTCTTCTTCTTCTTCTTCTTCTTCTTCTTCTTCTTCTTTGTCTTATCCTCCTCATTCTTCTCTTCACACTGCAGGCTCAACTACATGCATAAAATAAAGATGGTAGTCCCCACAGTGTGCCTGTTAAACAGGACCACAAACACTTAAGCACACTCTACGTAAAACTTCGAAAAAACACTGGCCTCATGAGCAAAGTGTGCAGAGCAAGCTATGGGGAACCATGAAGGACCTGCAGCTGACATGCGAGTTAATAGAGGCAACCCACCTGGTTTTCTGATCTGAGCATACGAAACCGAATGCAAAGAAAAACAAGATTCTTCTTTCCCTCCGCCTTCTTCTACTGTGTCTCATCTTCCTCATTCTCCTCTAACCCCTCCTCCTTCTTCTTCTTTTTCTTCTTCTTTTCTACTTCTTTTCGATGATGTCCATATCACTCTTGTGTTATGTGCTGCCAATTATCTTTTAATTTCTGATACAGATCTTCTTTCGGGCAATGGTGCCAAACTATTTAACACACTCTTTATTGGTCTACAATGCCATTCTTCCCCTTGTGTGTTGAGTGGGGAAATGTGCATGTGTGTGGGTATGTGTGTTTACTGTTTGTCTATGTCTGTCTGTATGTCTGTCTGTGTGTCTGTCTGTCTTTTTTTAGGGTTTCGTATAGATTACATTATACACACTGACCGAGCTGTCACTCTACTCACCGCCAGCTGTATTATACACAGGTAGCCTTCACAAGGCCCAGTGCTGACGAAAGACTTAGACATCAACCTGCTGACTTCTGCAATCCCTGTCAAAGGTTGATCACTGGAGTCCAGCAGCTTGAAATATCCTGAAAATCAGTCATGTAGTTTATTAATCAACTATTAAAACATCCGAGTGTTAAAACTTGGTCATCCCTAGTATTTTCAACGTATCGCATTGTTCTTTTTCGTCTTTTGTTATTTCACTGATACCAGGTGGTAGCCCAGTGTTGTGGTTTTCTGTAATTTGTCTTGCGCTTCTCGGGTGACTTTGATGATGGACTTGCTAATCTTTTATCTTATTGTTAAATCCCAATATTCCAGATGGGTCACCAGGGGGTTTTGCTAAAATCTGGCTGTTGAGATGATTCGCCAACTGTTCTGGGTCATCTGGGTAAAGATTCGACATAACAGCATTCAGAAAAAGCCCCTTTTAGCTTCGTCTTCTTCCTCAACAGCCAGCGAAGAGACTCCGTACCAATGGTTGCCGTTGTCATCTGATCAACTATTCATCTTGCCTTTCTCCGACTTTTGTTCCGTGTATTGTGTGAATGCCGATTAGCTAGAGTGTCGTTATATCAAGCTCTGGGATTCCTTAGATTACACTGTATTTTTTTAATACTAATCAGCACTTTTTGGATGAAATGGCCAGTATCCCGCCCGCAGCTTTTTCTTCCTAGATAAAGTCTTAGTGTAAAAATTAAATTATATGCACTTAGAATACCATGTCAGGTGTGTTTTTTTAAACCTCTGTCTCAAAAGGGAATGATCAGGCAGATAGGTTGACTGGACTGCTCCCACTTAGCGCGTACTGTAATTGCACAAAGCAAAGGTGATCTCTCGCCTATGACAGAAGGTAACTAGTCAAATGGAAGATATCGACGACCCATATCTGCAGAGAATGGTGCAGCGGGCAGTGTCTGCAGGCTTTGGGCGTCACTCAGAGGAAAGACAAGACCAGTGGTTAAGCAGAAGACAACCAGTACCATCAGTATGAAATCTATTCGCTGGCTGTTTATGGGGAGACGGGGCTAATATGGGCTTGTCCTAAATGCTGTGATGTCGAATCCTTACACTGATAAACCCAGATGAACTCTGTCTCGAAAGGTTCGAGCACATAACCGTTGCATCTATACACAAAACAGATATCAACTGCGCAAGAGTGCCTTTGTGCAATAGGCTTACCTGGAAAGCTCTCAGGGAAAGTGATTGGTGGCCCAACCACTTTGTACACCAGTTGTCCCACATCGCGGGTAGCAGGACGGGGTCTGAGGTTGCAGGCGTGTAGCTTTCTGCTTTTCAGTTCTCTGTAAAGTAGAAAAGGCTGGCGAAGGTCCACAGGTTTGTCATTGTCGCCTCCTGTGCTTTCATTGCGCAGCTGGGTATGAGGAGACAAGATTGCAAAATGCACTCGTTACCAATTTAAGTTTTGTGCCGAATCTCCAAAATGGCTTGGCTGCAGATTATGTGTGCAGTGGATTCTCATTTGTTTAAAATCTCCAAGCCAGCCGCCATTACAATCTAGGCTGTGATACCTGCGTTTTTTCAGCCAAATAACCGATTTCTACAAACCCATAATTAGTCTCTTTTTACGACATACTCGTTAGAATTCTGCTGGTCTATTTTTATCTTTCCCCAAATAGTAAGTAAAAGTAAAGGACCCTTTTCCGCGTATTTAGGCGTATAAGGCATATAGGGCTAGACCTATATTTTTTAGACCAACGGCGCAAGATGGGTGATGTTGTCATCATTATGCCAGCCTCCTCTACTTCCCGGGATTGAGCCCGGTACCCATTCAAGGCTAGGTCAACCTGGGAGCCAAGGTCGTTTTTTTTTTATAAAACAAAGTCCGGCTCCGCGGCGCGCGTCTAGCCGCTCCGAAACGCCGACTTCCTCTTCCCAAAATGGGGCCCCGTAACTTACGCGTCAGTTTCTCCATACTTTACTACCACAAGGTTAGTTGCGTATTCTTTACAGGACGTTGCAGAACCAACCCCAACAGCCCTTGGCTGTTCTGTGGTTTTTCTAGGCAAATTTACGTCCAGTAGTTTGCCATTGCTACTGGACGGTCGGCTTTCTTGATACCACTGTCGAAACCAAGGCAAGGCGCATGGTCCGGCAGCTGGAATCGAACCCAGCATCCCGGCATTATGAAGCGTTCGCATCGACTTAGCCACAGAGCCGACTTACTACCACACACCAATTATTTCAGAGATCTTTTCTTCTTGTGTGTGCTGTTTTTTGTATTATGGTTTGCTGACAATGGACAGTCATCGCAAAGTCCCCCCCCCCCCCACCCCCCCCCCCCCCCCCCCCCCCCCCCATTAATCCTAACTGGTTCTGTAAAGCTGACATTTACTTTATGTTTTTACAGTCGTTTTGTATACAACAGTAACTAACTATTTATTTGAAACCTCCAATTTAAAAAAAAAAAAGGAGGACAAAAAACCTAGTGCGCAGCTATGAAAACGCGACAGATAGTTTTCTGTGGTCATGTAAGAAGAGAAAGCCCTTAGTAAACATCTTGTCAAGTGGAAAACTAAACGGTAGAGAAGCCCGAGATAATATTTGCCAGAACAACTAAGGCAATTAATAATACATTACAGAGATTCATTAACTGTGACTTCGCAGAATAGATGGAATTAAATCGTATGATAGAATAACTAATGTAGAGCTTTGGAAGAGAACTAAACAGGCTCCAGTGGACCAGGAGGTGAAGAAAAGACGCTGGCGTTGGATAGGACACACACTGAGAAAACATAATAACAGCATAACTAGAGTGTCTTTGCATTGGAACCCACAGGGGCATAGGAATAAAGGAAGGCAAAAAAAGCATGGAGAAGAGAGCTAGAGAATGAAGTTAAAAAGATAGAGAGGACATGGGGAGAGCTCCATGCAATGGCGAAGGATAGAACGACTTGGCGCGAGTTGGTTGAGGGCCTATGCTCCATTGGGGGATAGAAAGGCAGAAGAAGAACATTGACACGGATGCAGTTGATCATATTCATATAGCAGACAGTTTAAGCCGTGACAAGCCGGTAATCTATGATGAGTTTCTTATGATACATAATCTTAATAATTATGTAGTGCCCTTTGATTTAAACGCCCCATATGGCTTTAGACGTCCTCGTCATTTAGTTTAGCGAATGTTGTTAACAATTTCATGATCCTCGAGTACTAGGGTTCATTTGCTGCGATTGGCGGTTTTTAAAAGACGTTTTCCTGGTTTTGGGACAAAGGAATAAAAATCACTTCGTAGAACAGGCCTCACCATGCCATATTCCGGGAGACAGCAGTGGTACACTGTAGTTAACCTTCATTGTAGAGATGGCACAGAAATTGTATTTATTAAAGTTGCCAGAGAAAGCGAGTATTATACATTGCCATACCCTTGCAACCCACCAATATAATTTATCTACAACAGCAAAGACAATGATTTGTAGAGATACATGAAAGTAAAGGCCAGATTTTTGGCACAAGATGATTTATGATTCCCATAAATGTCAGTAGCTTTAAAAGGCCTGGAAACAAACTATTAAACTCTAAATTGTATAGTTTTATAAGTTACAGATTTTCAGTTCTAATGTTTTTCAAATTTTAACATATTGTAACAGGGAGCGCTGTGCGAATTGAGTATCATTAACAACGGGTCGAAATCAACAACCTTCCAGAACTTTATTTTTCCCGCCAAAAACCAAACCATTGACGTCATAGGTGTCTCAATTTCCCGCCAAAACTACCTATTGACGTCAAACTCGGGCATTTGGCCTTGTCCTGCTTTTCTCAAAGTTTCTAAATTTATTTATTTCATCATGTGACCCAACCTTATAGTACTGGTAAATAAGTTGTCGACCAAAAATATGTTTTTGTCTTGCGCTTCTCAGATGACTTTGATTATTGATTTGCTCATCTTTTATCGTAGTGTTAAATCCCAATATTCAAGATGAGTCACCAGGTGGTATTGCTAAAATCTGGCTGTTGAGATGATTCGCTAACTGTTCTGGGTCATCTGGGTAAAGATTCGACATAACAGCCTTCAGAACAAACCTCTCCCCGTGTGGGTTCCGGGGCCCTGTTATAGAGAAAGTTTATTCGGTTTTTGTATTTTTGATGCGCAGTCGCTGGTGTTCTCGACATCCCTCGCATTTTCTAGAACATTACAGAGTTGGGCCTATAAAAAGGGAACCCTGGTTAGGTAGAGAGAGAGAGAGAGAGGGAGAGAGAGAGAGAGAGAGAGAGAGAGAGAGAGCCACACTGAGGCAGACAGAGGGAGTACGGAGACCGGAGAGACACACAGCGACTCAGTTGGACTATAGGGGGACTTAGAGAGACATAGGCAAGCTTAGACTAAGGTAGAGGTAGGTCTCTGAAAATTCTCTAGAGAAATTTTAGGAAGCAAGTCGAAAGCAGGTTGACAGAAGCTTTATTCAGCAACGGTATCCTCATTGCTTTTCACCAGGCGCATAGTGTTACCGTTAGTAGTCGTTGATTGCCTTTGTCAGTACTGTTTGGGAAGTTGCCATTTTTATTGTCATAGATTAAATAAAAGTTGTTTTTTTTTTTTGGAAAACGCATTGATGGTTCACATAAAGTTGTACGTCAGACGGCAGGGTGGTTTGTTTGAAATGACAGTGGTGATGCGAGACAAGAGAGGAGAAGAAGAAGTGTTTCCACTGCGAAATGTCAATCTGGAAGTGATAGTACAACAGCCAGTAGAGCCAGGAGAAGAAGAAGACTCTGGCATAGAAATAGACGATGAACTGAGTGAAGAGGAGGAGGAAGGAGCAGAACAGTGATATGCCAGGCTTCCCTAACGAGCCGAAATAGAGAGTCCCTGTTTCAATATACCAATAAACGTTGGAGAACCACTAAGACATAGAAGGAAAGTTAAAAGCATTTAAAGACAAATGCCTGAGGGGATTGATAAACATTAAATGGGATTCATTCAAGAAGGGGTGAAGAAATAGGAGAAATGAGTGGGCAACCACTGGTAACAGTCGTTTTAAGACAAGGAAAAACGGAACGAGTAGAAATCACTAACGTGGGAAATAAAGAGATTGGGAAAGCGAGGACGTCCAACAGAAACCCTAAGACGAACTTTGATGAGAGAGGACAAGGGTGCTGAATTAAATTCCATCCAAGATATGGAAAGAAAAGCACAAAATAGAACGGAGTGAATGAATAGACTGTGAGCCCTATGTGACATATAACGGCACAGTGCAATGATGATGATGATGATGATAAATGTCCGTAAGAATATGTTCATTTGGCAACTTTGCTCACTCTTTACGTCTTTTCTCATGTTGTTTCATAGTGTCAACCTACAAAATAGGAAATGTAAAACACACTGCACTTTTCAATAAAGACGACAAATATCACAAGAGTGTGAATGGTTCCCGTGAACAAACCTGATATCAGAAATTATAATAGGCTGTCATAGTCATCATAACCAGCATCCTCATCATCATTACTATGTAATCCCCGTGGGGGGTTGCGGGGCTCTATGGGAGATGGCAAAAAGGGGGAGGGGGTTGATACACACTGCTTCCCTAAACCTACAAAACATTTGGTAAAAGTCGACTAATTTGCATTTTCTCTCCGAAGTCGGAGCGCATCTGCCATTGAAGCGAGGAATCAACAGTCTGCATACAAGAAAGACAGATCTATAAAACGGATAAGCACGTAGAATCCGTGTTCTGGAACAAGACATATGCCCTAAAAGTGCACGAGCAATCAGACCTTTCTGTTAAAGTTTACAGTCGATCCTTTTGCACTCCCCCGTGTGGGTTCCGGGGCTCCATTGTGGGGAAAACAAGAATAGACCCACTGCCTCCCCAAAAGCATGTCGTAAGAGTCGACTAATTGGGGAGCTTCCTTTGAAGTCGGAGTGCATATGCCGGAGAGGCAAGGAACCAACAGTCTGTATTCAAGAGAATGAGATCTGTAAAACTGATGCACACGCAACACTCAGGTTCTGGAGCAGGACTGCAGTTCAGTAGTGGACGAGCAACCAGAACTTTCCGCCAGAGTGTACAGCTGGTGAACGCGAAGAAGAAGAAGATTATCTGTCCCTACGTTGTTGTTGACATATACAGCCTTCACAAGTTATCTCCGTTGTTGCCGGTCCGCTACTTTTTTGTCCATGGTATCCACATCAGTTTATATTCCGTCATTTTCCTTTCTACTGTCTTTCTTAAGAATCGGAAAGGCCGGGCTTTATTCAAAAATGACCTTGGCTCCCAGGTCGACCCAGTCTTGAATGGTTACCAGGTGCAGTCCTGGGAAGTAAAGGCGGCCGGTGTGATGTTAAGCACATCACCCACTAAGTGCTGATTAATCTATAAAATATAGTTCTAGCCCTATATGCTTTATAGCCTGAAGGTTCTGTAACTTTTAGCCTTACGTACACGCCCGGCTCGCTAGCGTAGTTGGTTGCACCTGACTTCGCGGCGACCGGGTGACCAACTCCTTTTGTTCTGTGTTTACCCTTGAGGGTAGATAGAAAAGCCTCATTTCTCCCAGATTTACGGTATTTATCATGGAATCAAGGCCGAAGGGTTGCAGTATCCATAGTACCGAGCCAAAGGGTTAACAACTCATGGTTTCTGGAAACTAAAAAAAAAAAACCTTTACTTACTGTCCTTCTAGTTTCCTTTCATCGCCTATGTCTACTATTTCCTCTTATCAATCACAAGAGAGTTTTCCATTCCAAAGTGTCATGAAGCGTAATACAAACATGTCCAAACCATCTTCTTTCTTTGATAACATTTGCCATGTTATTTTCCTCCTCAGTTCTTCACAGCTCTCCATTTGTGATCTTATTTTACCAGAATAGCTTTTATCCTGTTTAGGCGATAAGACTTTCGGTCATTTGTCAGAATCCCCTGCTGAATTTTTTTTTTTTTTTTTCTCCTCAAGGATTTCAATCTGTACGATTAACACATCAAGGATGCGAAACTAACAGGTACAAATCCCAGATACGCCATTCAACCATGTAGCCATTTAGCACGGGTATAATGAGGCACCGCAAAACGGCTATGAATTAACCTGTAGTCCAGAGTGAGTGGGTCCGAACCCTGCTTCAACTTTTGTAATTCGCAAGGTAAGTCTAGTGTCGACCCAAATGTTAAAGGTAATCGTGAGAGGATCGACTTCATTGCACCGGGTCTTATCCCCGTATGGCTCAGTCTCTCTCCGCAGAACAGCTAGCCGTCTGCCGAGAGCGTCGCAAAAAGCGCGACCTCCGTAGCTTCGGCGACGATCCCTAGGGATCTCCGTAAACATTGTATTTATGTCGTAAACTGAACAGCGCAGCAGTGAAACGAACCCACGACCTTCAGAACGCGAGGCAAACGGCTTGGCCACCTCGCCACTGAAACAATTGTATGCTGGTGACAGCTGCTTTTTCTTCCAAAAGCCACGCCTTCCTGCGCATTTCTTCTTATTGTCTGTATTTCACACGCTTACATCAATACTGGTTATACTGTGTTGCCCTCAAAATAAGCAAAAGCATTATGCTCTTAGTATAAGCCCTACCCCCAAAAAAGCACTAGTTGAGAAAGCGACAAATAGGCAGTGGCTCTACAGGAAATTGAGTTGCCAAAATTCAGGCCGGAATTCGGGATTTTGGGAGTTATTGCTTTATTCCTTTTTAAAAAAAAAATTACCGACTGTTTTGAATCAAATGTACAATTGTGTACATAAATAAATATAAATTTGTGTGTCTAAGAAAATGAGCTAGAATGCATTTTTTGAAGCCAAAAATTAAATAATGACCCGTCTTTTCTCTCCGGGGAACCATGTTATATAGTACGTAAAAATTAGAAATATCAACATAACGGGGGTGTGGGGGGGGGGGGGGCATGCACACAGAGAGAAGGATTAAACACTAACTAGAATGCTAAAACTAATAAATCATTGGGGAACTTCTGTCCCACACTCTTCTGTCCTATATAAATCCCATACACCAAGGGCGGCGGAAGCTGGGAGCTTTGCCACATTGGCTTCCTATCCACCCAGCCACTTTCCACACCGGCCCATCCTAGAAAAATTCTAGTTGTGGTGGCTGCACTTCAAAATGTAAGGATCTGACTGCCCCCCTTCTTACCATATTTGATTTAGGTTTTTTCCTCTCCTGTGAATAATAATAATAATAATAATAATAATAATAATAATAATAATAATAATAATAATAATAATAATAATAATAATAATAATAATAATACTTAAAAAATGCTTAAATCTCCTGAGCATATCTCTCCAAATTGTAAAAGACGATGCACCCCCGCCCCTGTTTTCTTTGTCGGCGCCTCTGCCATGTCCAGCTATCCCAGTTGTAAAAGAGAAGAGTAAGAAAAATATTGTAAAATCTTACTTTTACAACAACGGGTAGTGTAGTTGCCTTCAGGATGTCACTGAGACTTTTGGGCTTCTTGCTCCAGATAAAAGGATCTTCTTCCTCGCCCTGAACCGCCGTGAACTGGTTAGTCCCAGCTAGTGCGGCGTTCTGAGCAGCAACATCATAGTTGTTGCTGGCCATTTTACAGCTGACGGCAGACCCAATTCTTCTGATGTGTGATTAGGATTTGGAGAAAACTTGTGAAGAAATAAAAGTTCAAATTACAAAATGTAGGCTAAATATGTATAACAAAACAATTCTTATATAGTTTTTAGAAGTAGTAGAGTAGCAGAAGAGTTGTGGTGGTATTGCTAGTAGTAAAGGTGGAAGTATAGTAATAGCAGCAGAAAGAGTAGTAGTTGTGGTAATAATGACAGGAGCAACAGTAGTAGTAGTAGTAGTAGTAGTAGTAGTAGTAGTAGTAGTAGTAGTAGTAGTAGTAGTAGTAGTAGTAGTAGTAGTAGTAGTGGTGGTAGTAGTAGTGGTATTAGTAGTAATAGTAGTAGTAGTGGTAGTATTGGTAGTAGTAGTAGTAGTGGTAGTGGTAGTGGTGGTATTAGTAATAGTAGTAGTAGTAGTAGTAGTAGTAGTAGTAGTAGTAGTAGTAGTAGTAGTAGTAGTAGTAGTAATAGTAGTAGTAGTAATAGTAGTAGTAGTAGTAGTAGTAGTAGTAGTAGTAGTAGTAGTAGTAGTAGTAGTAATAGTAATAGTAGTAGTAGTAATGACAGTAGCAGCAGTAGTAGTAGTAGTAGTAGTAGTAGAAGTGGTAACGGTGGTGGTGGTAGTAGTAGTAGTAGTAGTAGTAGTAGTAGTAGTAGTAGTAGTAGTAGTAGTAGTAGTAGTAGTAGTAATAGTAATAGTAGTAGTAGTAATAGTAGTAATAGTAGTAGTAGTAGTAGTAGTAGTAATAGTAGTAGTAGTAGTAGTAGTAATGACAGTAGTAGCAGTAGTAGTGATAGTAAGTAAAAGTAAAAAAAAAAAACCTTTTCCACGCCTTTACGGGTATTCGTCATATAGGGCTAGATCTATATTTTATATCGGCCAATGGGTGGTGTGGTCAGAATCACAGCGCCCCCCCCCCCCCCCCACCCCCTCCTCCATTCTTTTCTTACCAGTACGGTACAGACTTAATGCTGTGTCGACCGGGGAGTCAAGGTCATTTATGGGGAAACAAATCCGGGGTCTTCAAGACCCAAACCCACGACCTTTTGATCCCTAGGCCAGCGTCCAGCCGCTACATCACGCGCCTCCCTGTGGTAGTAGTGACAGCAGTAACCGCAGTTTTAGTAGTAGTAATGGCAATAGTAGCAGCAGCAGCAGCAAGTAGTAGTACTACTAGTGATCGTGGTGGTCGTAGTAGTATTACTAAAAGCAGCATTAGTAACAGCAATGGTAACAGCAGCCGTAGTAGCAGCGATAGTCGGAGTATGAAGAGGAATGGTAAAGGATGTTGACAGTTATAATAGCAGTAGCAGTAGTAGCTGCTGTTGTCGCTTTTGCTCCTGTTGTAGCAGCGGCAGTAATAGTTATTTTGTTGTTGTTGCTGACTATAGCTGGGGCATAGATATGGCCTGACGGCTGAAAGGGGTTTCTGTGACCTCTCCACAGGTGATCCTCATCCGCATGGTGGCACTTTGTGTCACCGGGTGTTTATCGCTTGTGTGATGTCCTTGTGGGGTACAACTACCTACCTCTATATTCTGTTAGGGTGGGGAGGGGGCGCTCTGCTCCGTAAAATTAGGTTGGGGAGGGGGAGACTAAGTAGCTGAGTCGCCAGGTTACAGTGTCTACGCATTCAGATATTTATATATTTCGTGAAAAATGTCAGTTTTCTCCTCTTCTTCTTCGCGTTCACCGGCTGTAAACTCGGGGGGAAATGTTCTGGTCGTTCGTCCACTTCTGGACTCTAGTCCTGTTCCAGCAGCGATTTACTGAATGTAAAATTACGTGGTAAAACCACAAACAGTCAACAAAAGATGAGTTGGCTTGAAACGTCGTGTAAAAAAAAATTTAGAACTTAATCTACCTGCCAGCAATCTCATCCAAACAGGGACAGGTTATGGCGAAAGAGCTTACTGATTTTGTCAGAATTCAGTAACATCAGCATTCAGCTGCCATTAATCAACGAGTGTCTGCGCCTATGTTGTGTAGTCTACTAAATGATACATGCACCTGTTTATCGGCTGTTAGCGAAGTCGATAGGAGACTCGCTTTCAAATCCAGCTGCGACTCGCTGGAGCTCACGGCCGGTGTTCGAAACCGGACGGTTCCCGGGGTTCACCCAGGATCTAGGAAATTGGAACCAGAGTTAACACTCTGGGGGGTAAATGGAGGAACGTCGCTGTAGCTACGGAGTTTCGTGCGGACGGCGACACCGGCGGACAGTTTCTTTTCAGCTGTCCGTACTGGTGGCAGAGCACTTATAGTTTATAACAGTGTACAATGACGCTGGTTCACGTCTCCAGACTTTACCTTTAACTTTTTTTTTAATTGGCTGTTGCTTCATCTTTTTATTCTAGTCGATGTCGTGTGGTGTTGTGTGATCATGTACACAGCTTTCTGTTAGCGTACTGTCAATTGTTTGTGTGCTTCCATTCGCCAGCTGTAAACTCTAGCGGAAAGTCCTGGTTGTTCGTTTATTTCTGGAATTTGGCTTTGTTCTGAGACCTGAATTTTGCGTATGCATCCATTTTACAGATCTGGCTTATTTGTATGCAGACTGTTGGTTCCTTGCCTCTCAGGTAGAAGTACTCCGACTTCGTAGGAAACACCCCTAAATATTCACCTTTTACGACATGCTTGTTGAAAATAGGGGTTTGGGGCAGTGGTCTGTTCTTTCATTCCCCCCCCCCCCCCCCACATAATGCGCCTCCGAATCTAGGAGGGCACAACTGCTGATGTGACATTTATCCCCCTCTAGGGCAATTTTTCCGACCCAGTACTGTCAGTTCCCAGTCTAACAGATAGACAATCTGCCGTCAAGAGGTACATTCAACGGTTGTGGTAGTCTTGGTGTTGGGTGGTAGTGACTGACTGACTGACTTTCTACCCCACCGGACATCACACAAGCGATAAACACCCGATGACACAATGTGCCACCATGTGGGTGAGGATCACTGTGGAGAGATTCCAGAAATCGCGTTCAACCTTTAGGCCATATTTATGGCCAGGCTATATTGCGGCCCCTGGCTAGAGCCAGAGTAGGGCTTCAAATAACGGAAAATTGCATCCTAAAAAGGACGGGAAGTCTTAAAACTCATTAAAAAGTAACGAGGTGGTAGTCAAAATTACTACAGATGTATCCCATTTCCTTACCGAACACAGTAAGTATCACAAACACGTCCCATTGACCGATATGGTGTGTTCCTTGATTCTAATATCTGTCCATCCAACTCATTCCTGCCTTTTTCTAGCTTATCCAGAGTCTCAGCTTTCCCTAAGGCATTAATCAAATTAACTGTGACTAAAAAAGCCTAACGGAACGGGGAAGCAGAACAACTTGCACAAAACAACACAAATTGTTTCGGCCGGGGCCTCTAAACTACACAACAATAACTCCAGCCACCAGTGACCACCTGGGGGTCAGGTGAGAAACTATAGAAAAAATAAAGGAAGGCTAGAAAAATAGTCATTAGATTATAGTGATAAATATATAATAATAGGAATAAACTGGTGCTGATAAGAGATAGAAGAAAATATTATGAAATAAAATAAAATAATCTAAAAATAATACAATAACATTAAAAAATAATGAGACATTAGTAGAACCGTTTAGAAAAAGGCATGCTGGAAATTGATGGCTCCAGGACTTAGAACTCCTAGACTGTGAATTAGGCGATTTTCCAAAGCGAGGGTCCTGGTATGATCACCAGAGCAAGATTTTATCGCTGTTACAGATATATCATCTTTGCCTCTGTGGTGAGAGCTGTTAAAATGATGAGGGATTAGTCCTGGCGCTCCTGGAAACCACCAAGGTCCAGATTACAGATCTGTATCAATATGAAAACCAGATCAAAGCGGCAGATGACGCACGGTCAGTCATTTATGATAGAGATATTCGTGCATCCTTCTGTATCAAGCTGTCCAGAAACTTCTCATTTGGTTCCCTTCAGTTTAAATTCCCATCCAACTTTTCGGTTGTCACAACTTGTATAGTTTGCCTTTCCTCACGATGTGACCAAAGAATGTAGAGTGTCTCCTGATGTGAGTAACAGTTCGCTTCTAGATTTAATTTCTTTCAAGACTTTATTGTGCTTTTTATTCGTCCGTGGTGTTTTCATCATTCGTCTGACACTGTTTAATATAATGAGAAGTTCCCGTCTGGCTGTATGCTCTTATGGCTGTCTTTTGTTGTCCGTTTGTTTTTTTTGTTTTTTGGAGGAGGGGGGGGGGGGGGGGTTAATTCTAATTTTTTTTCATCTTATCAAATGCTTTACTGTGGCTTAGGAATCGCTAAAGCGCTATGTAAAGCAATGGCAAACTACTCAACAGAAATAAAATTTTGTGAAACAAAACAGTGAACAAATGATGTGGTTTGTTCTTGAGCGTCCTGTAAAGAGCACACTACTAAATTGTTAGATTGTATATCTTTGTTAATTTCAATAACCATTTCTATTAATGTTCTTAAGATACACATGGCTTTATTTGTGGCTTTTCTTACAAAGTTGTTGGGTATAACATAAAATTAAGCTAAATATTACATAATATCATCATCATCGGGTGCCTTGCCGACTGGCCATGGGCGATCTTGCCTCTCCACAATCTGCGATCTCCTGCAGCATTTATCAGTCCGTGTGCCGACACACCTCCATACGATGCAACAAGACTATCAAGAATCTTCTCTCGTTGTCTTCCTCTATCCCTCCTTCCACAGATCTTTCCAGTGGTCACAACATGTACTATTTTCCTTCTTCTCATAACATGGCCGAAAAATGATGACTGTCTCCTTCTGATGTGTGTGATAAGTTGTCTTCGGGCTCCCGCCTCATTCAAAACCTCTTGGCTGCTCTTTTTGGCTGTCCAAGGTAGTCTAAGCATTCTTTTGTAAAACCACACCTCTGAGGCCTCAAGAAATTGTTTGGCCTGTCTACTCATTGTCCAGGATTGACAGCCACATGTTAAAACTGGATGCATGTAGTAGG